TTATTTATCATACAATTAACAAAAGCAAAAAAAGGCCTCTAACACTAGCTTGCTCTATTCTTTTTCTATTCTGTTTTCTTTTTATTTATTATGTCATTTAAAAAAATCCTTGCTACGTGTACTGCGTTAAGCTAACTGAGACTTGTTATATCACTTGCATATCATTGCTCTTTTGTTGATTTTGATTGCTTCCATTGTGCACATTTGTAAGTCGCTTTGGATAAAAGCGTCTGCTTGATGACTAAATGTAAATGTATCTTTTTTAATATTGTGGTTGTTTTACAGTAAACAACTGTATTGTACATCTGTTTTAAATTGTTGTTTTTTTATCAGTTTTAAATAAAAACTTTTGTAGGGGGAACAAAATTACAATTTATTATCCAAGTAAATGTTTTCGTTTGAATTGGACAAACAATAAAAATTCACTTTATAAATTAATTCACTTCATTTAAACTTGGACCAACTCAACTGCATTTCATTGCATGAATCAGTTTTTTTATGAGTTGGGGCTAAACATATGTATTGGATGGAAATCCTACCTTCAATTAAATTGAGTTCGTTCAAAGCAAAGAAAAGAAAAAATGAGTCAATGCATATAAAATTAAGAGATTGTAATCATTAAAGTTTCAGTAACACAAAATAATTGAGTAATTGAGTTTAACAGTATTTTAGGAAATAATCTTTTAGTGAACTCAAATGAAATAAGTTCACAGTACTCATAATTACTGGTTTCTAAACTTAAATGAATTGAGGCAAACGGTTTCCTCATTTGAAATAAGTTATCTCAATTCCTTGGGTTTACACATATTAAAATTAATGTTACAGTTATGAATGATTGATTCCTACTACAATACTAAAAAAAAACTTCATCAATTAAATAAAAAGGGACTATTTTACACAACATTTGTGTGTTCTGACCATTTTTATGCTTATTAGAGCAATCCATTGGCTATGTAGAGAAAAAATCAGTCACTTATGAGGATCCATCTCTGACAGACCCAATAAGACAGAGTAAACAGGGACAATTTTGGATTTGATTTTGGTTTTATGAAAGCAATAAGCCACTTACAGTGATTTTACCGTGCTTAAGGGGTGTTAAGAATGACGTGAAGCAGGTAGGGTTTCAATATAAATTCAAAATAAATTTACTTTGCGGACTATCTACAAGCTCCACTCTCCGTTTCTCGTTTATCTAGATGTGTTCATCCTCTGAACTCCTAACCCCCCCTCCAAGTGTCAGGTCAGGACATCTCTGTTGCCATGGTGATGTTTAATCCCTGTTCCTGGTCATGGTGATTTTTTTAATGCTGCTTTCCCTCCTCATCCTCCACTGTCCTCTAAGTCAAATTAGCAGCGTGAGCCGCAGAGAGGTGGAGAGGTTATCACTCAGGCCTTTATTGAACTACAATTCCCATGAGCCCACGGTCACGCCATGTTACAGCAGACAGTCCAGACCTCACAAAACTTTATTGCAACAGTTTATAACAGTCCGTGTATTTCCAATGTCAAAAAATGTCACAGTAGAGAAAAGAAAAGAAAAGAAGAAATACTTGTGTTTACAATTTTCTAAAGTTTATATTTTTAGTTATTTTAATTTTTGTTATAATTCTAGTAATTTTGTTGTGTTTTGTCATTTTTGTTTAGATTTATTAGCTGAACTCCTAACCCCCCCTCCAAGTGTCAGGTCAGGACATCTCTGTTGCCATGGTGATGTTTAATCCCTGTTCCTGGTCATGGTGATTTTTTTAATGCTGCTTTCCCTCCTCATCCTCCACTGTCCTCTAAGCCAAATTAGCAGCGTGAGCCGCAGAGAGGTGGAGAGGTTATCACTCAGGCCTTTATTGAACTACAATTCCCATGAGCCCACGGTCACGCCATGTTACAGCGGACAGTCCAGACCTCACAAAACTTTATTGCAACAGTTTATAACAGTCCGTGTATTTCCAATGTCAAAAAATGTCACAGTAGGTAAGTTTGGTATTATATAAATATATAATTCAAGAAAAGAAGAAATACTTGTGTTTACAATTTTCTAAAGTTTATATTTTTAGTTATTTAAATTTTTGTTATAATTCTAGTAATTTTGTTGTGTTTTGTCATTTTTGTTTAGATTTATTATAGTATATATACATATATAGAGAGAGAGAGAAAGAGAGAGAGAGAGTACTTAAGACTTCAACTTAAACTAAATGAAAATGAAACAAGCTTTTTTATTTTATTATTTTATTTTATTTCAAGTTATTTTTTTAATGGTTATTGAAGTATTTTTTTTTTATGGTTTTAGTTTTAGATTTAGTTTTAGTTCACAATAATAATAACCCTGGTATATACACTTATAAATTTAAGTCAACAAATCAAAATTGAGTATAATGTATTCTATTTACTTTTTAAAATGAAAATGGCTTCAAGTCAGTTTAAAGAAAATTGAATGATCCTGGTCTTAATGTGGTCCCCAAAAAAATAGAATTAAAAAATAAAGTTAAATTACAAATAAAATAAAGAATGATAAAAAATAAAAGTTTCTTTGTCATAAAATGCTTTGCTAGTTTTTTCTAATCGTGCACCTAACAGTAAGATTTTAGCAAAAAACAAACTAAATAAAAATAAATAAATAAATTCTTTCAGCTAATAGAGTTGCTTTAGGCTCCAGATTTGACAGCGAGACATGATTTTGCCAGATAACGTTTACAAACCACTATGCCACGGATTCAATGCATTTTTACTTCTATTTATGCAATAATTTGCTTGTTTTTAAAACAAGTAAATAGTCATCTAGAACACAGCTGAAATATATTCTGTTCACAATGGTTTTAGTTTTAGATTTAGTTTTAGTTCACAATAATAAAAACCCTGGTATATACACTTATAAATTTAAGTCAACAAATCAAAATTGAGTATAATGTATTCTATTTACTTTTTAAAATTAAAATGGCTTCAAGTCAGTTTAAAGAAAATTGAATGATCCTGGTCTTAATGTGGTCCCAAAAAAAATAGAATTAAAAAATAAAGTTAAATTACAAATAAAATAAAGAATGATAAAAAATAAAAGTTTCTTTGTCATAAAATGCTTTGCTAGTTTTTTCTAATCGTGCACCTAACAGTAAGATTTTAGCAAAAAACAAACTAAATAAAAATAAATAAATAAATTCTTTCAGCTAATAGAGTTGCTTTAGGCTCCAGATTTGACAGCGAGACATGATTTTGCCAGATAACGTTTACAAACCACTATGCCACGGATTCAATGCATTTTTACTTCTATTTATGCAATAATTTGCTTGTTTTTAAAACAAGTAAATAGTCATCTAGAACACAGCTGAAATATATTCTGTTCACAGTTTACACATCCTTCTCATATAACCTGTGTTATTGTTCTCAGTCAAAGAAACGTCCGTGTTATGCATCAAAGAGCTCAGAGACTCCAGAGACCCTCCATACAGTGACATGTGATGGTTATGTATTAGAGCAGAGCAAAGGTAACAGCGTCCAAATGTTTGATCACACTCTGCCAGCATCCATCTTCCAGCAATCATCCATTACCCATAAGCTCACAAACATCCACAGACAGATGAAAGAGGCACTCAGGATATTCTACAAACATCCGTCCTAGTCAACACACTAACAAATCACCGAGCGATTTTTCTGAACACCAAAAGAGTGAACATTTTTCTCCGAAAGCTGTACTCTTAACGTAAAATCTAGTTCATATATGTGTGTAGCTTAAAATTGTCTGTCATTAGACCGTTCTGTGTGCCTTTAAGAACATACACATTGAATCTCGCTATCATTTCGAAGGACCGCTCAAGGGATTCCCGAGAGATGCTATCAAAGATACAAGACTGTGATTCAGTTGTAAAATCCTCCACAGATATCAGACAGACAGATAGCACATCACGCACACAAACCGCTGGATATTTCCAGATACTCGGCATAAAATGAGAAATGAAAATGCTTCAGTAACACGAGGAAAGAGGTAAAACACGGTTCATGTCTAAATAAATCCTACTAAACAGTACAGCCAGTCAACATTATACACTGTATATTTTTACTATACATAATACACATAAAAGAAAATGTGCATAAGGAGTGTATCTGATCTTTAAAAATGAAGCTACTTTATATTAAATTACATTTCTGACTTAACCAAAGCGAGATCATTTAGATCAGAAGTTCTCAACTGTTGATTCACAACCCCATCACAGGTTTAATCTAATAGAATAGGGGGGAAAAAACAATGAAATGCAATTACTAAATTGCAACTAATAATGTTATCATGCATGAGCAAAATAGACGTATTAATTATATCCTGTGTGGATGTTAAAAAGAGTGTGTCCAATCAAACTCTGGGTGCAAAATCCTCCTTCGCAAGTTAGTCAAAGCAGACAGATGTCAACATGGACAGCTTGTGTGACTTGCTCTCATCCTCAAAAACCATCAGCAAAAGCATGCAAGGTCAAATGTGATCTAATAATACAAGATGCAAGACACTGCAAAATTAAAGTGTACATTTTCCCAATCAGTCCAATTTTAGGAATTTAGGATATTGCTCAGCCAGTGCAGCCCAATATTATTGATATTATTACGTGAAATTATAGGCTGCATTTATTTGATCAAAAATACAGAAATATTATTACCATTTAAATAACTGTTTTTAATTTGAATATTTTTAAAAATGTAATTTATTCCTATGATGCAGAGCTGCATTTTCAGCAGTCTTCAGTGTCACGTGATCCTTGAGAAATCATATTAATATGCTGATTTGCTGCTCAAGAAACATTTCAGATTTTTTTTCTGATGCACTTTTTATTTTCAGGATGCTTTAATGAATAGAAAGTCCAAAAGAACAGCAATTATTTGAAACAGAAATCTTTTGCAACATAATGAATGTCTTCACTGTCACTTTTGATCAATTTAATGCATCCTCGCTGAATAAAAAAGAGAAGAAAATCCTACCTTTTCCAAGCTTTTGAACAGTAGCGTATGTGCTTGTTGTCAGTACTCACAGCCTTTGTAGATGTCAGTAGGAATCTGTACGGCTGTATATGAGTAGTTGACTTTGTTCTTGAAGTTGGGATCATCCACAAACTCCAAAGAAAGAGAGTTCGGGTTTTCCAAGAGGTTTTCTCCATCATCATCATCCGGCTGCAACAAGAAGCAGAAGACAAACATCAGCGCACACACACACACACACGCCGAATGCATTGATTGACACACAGCAAACCTTTGTGCAGAAAATCACTTAGACACACACACACACACACACGCATCCATGATTAATTAGACAAACACTAATTACACAGACATGACAGGGGTAATCCTGCCTCCACAACTCAAAGGTGGCGGCACTTTGGAGGAAAAGCCGTAATACATCGCCAGTCTATTCATCCACGACACAATACAACAGCAGGTATCAAAGTGTTCGCAAATTGCAGAAAATCAATTAGCGTCGGCGATGGCTATCGCATTCACATTGAAGTCCTTCAGGCGATTAACCCTGTCAATAAATCACCACAATGATTGCCGAACGACGGCTGCTCTACCCTCTACTTGAGCCCGCCACACAGGCAGCTAATTAGCATTTTAATGCATCTTGAATCAAAATTCGACTCAAAAGTCCGGCTTTGATAGAACTTCAGTGAAAGTATCAAGCCAGCAAAAAATAAATAAAAAATGGATTTTAACGGCTTGCATTTATTAAATACCTCATTCTTGTATGCTAAGCATAAGGAGTAAGCCTATGCATAAACTGCATGATAATTGCATTTAATCGGAATGCTGTACTTCCATACTAATTTTGCACTATGTATATATTATGTACAGTGCCAGAAAGAAGTTAGGAATAATTTGGATTTTGTAAAGTTTTTGAAAGAAGTCTTTTCTGCTCACCAAGCCTGCATTTACTTGATCAAAAACACAGTAAAAATTATAATTCAATTGTAAAATATTATTGCAATCTAAAATAATGTTTTTTTCTATTTGAATATATATTAAAAAGTAATTGATTCCTGTGATCAAAGCTGAATATTCAGCATCATTACTCCAGTCTTCAGTGTCACATGATCTTTCAGAAATCATTCTAATATTCTAAAAAAAGAGGATATAACCAGTATCTCACAATGCAATGTGCTCAACTTTATAAACAGTGTGACGAACAAACCTGAAATGATAATCATGATTCATATTCCTTTCATTATTTCATGCACAAGACATTTTTACACAAAATTGGATTAAACATGCAAAATAAGCAAGAATATGGCAATTGTTGTCATCGTTAATCTTCAGTCTGTACTCTAAAAAATGCTGGTTTAAATACAACCCAGCGCTGGGTGAAATATGGACAAACCCAACTATTGGGTTGTTTTGACTCAGTGGTTGGGTTAATATTCAGAAGGTTGGGTTAAACATTTAACCCAAGCGCTGGGTCAAAACAACCCAATAGCTGGGTATGTCCTTATTTGACCCAGCGCTGGGTTGTATATAACCCAACATTTTTTAGAGTGTGACTTTTTCTTCAATAATTGTTATTATTCATTAATTTTCCACTCACTGTGCTTCATTAATCTTTCTCTTTGTCTTTGATTCTTCATCTCACAATCAAACACCCTTGTCTTCATCGCAGGGTAAGTGCGGTGTACAGTAATAGAGTGGCATGGGTTAATTGGGGTTGACGTAGTAAACACTGTTTTTATTTTTTTTGTTTTCCTCAAAATAAATTCAAGCCTCCTGCCAAGTGTGAGGGCTGATTTATGGCCTGCCTTTAATTGTCTATTAAAATGCAATTATAAACTGTTGTTGAGCCAAACATGGAGACGGTGGTTTTCCAATACCCCTCAATGTGACAAACACGCACATGCACATATAGGATGCGAATAACCTTGTGAAAATGGGAAAACCTGTTGGGATTTCTTTCCATTTTCCTTGCAAATAATTTGAAATGACACGGTGCATTGACTTTACTCATGACTAGTTCATATCTGACTCTAGGTAATAATGTTTTGGCTCCATACATGATTCAGAGCATTAATAATCAGAAATTTTTAGTAGGTCATGATTAAAGCTAACCTGAACTAGCAGGATTAAACACTTATTCAAACAGCAGTTTTCAAATACTGATACTGTGTAGAGAAATTTAAAAGAACAGTTTATCCAAAAATGAATTTTCAGGCCATTCAAAATGTAGATGAGTTTGTTTCTTCATGGGAACAGATTTGGAGAAATGTTGTATTATATTACTTGCTCACAATTGGATCCTCTGAATGGGTGCCGTCAGAATGAGAGTTGATAAAAACATCACAACAATCCACACCACTCCAGTCCATCAATTAACATCTTTTAAAGTCAAAAGCTGCATGTTTGTAAGAAGCAAATCCATCATTACAGCGTTTTAAACTTCAAACCATTGCTTCTGGCTAAAATACGAGTCTATAATCCATAATAACACGTCCTCCAGTGAAAAGGTTGCCTTGTCTGAATCAGGAGAGAAATATGCACAGATCAAACATTGTTTACAAGTGAAAACAGTTCAGAACAGTTCTAAACAAACTGAGTAAGAGAACAACAGGGGATGGACATTTCACTGGAGGAAGAGTTATTATGGATTATGGACTCGTATTTTGGCCAGAAGTAATGGTTTACAGTTGAAATGCCTTAATAATGAATTTGTTTCTTATACATGCAGCTTTTCACTTTTCAAGATGTTAACTGATGGACTGGAGTGGTGTGGATTACTTGTGGATTATTGTGATGTTTGGCTGTTTGGACTCTCATTCTGACGGCCCCCATTCACTGCAGAGGATCCATTGGAGAGCAAGTAATGTAATGCTAGATTTCTATTCCTTTAAATACAGCAGCTGTGTTCATATTGCAATACTAGGGTTGAGCTGTTTTTAAAAATAGTACACAAAATAGTCAATATGCAATGATAAAGGTTGCAAACATTACTGTGCAACACTGTTGTCACTTGATCTTATATTAACCAAAGGTTAATCTAAAACAGATTTCACATTTTCAGTTCAGTTTTGTGTAAATATGTCTTAACTTTTGGCATTGGGATCAAACAATGAGCCAAGATGGTGTTATAAATGGTGGCTGATATTACTTACGGTTCTTTAGTCACACTGGAAATGGACGGTCAAGTGGAGGACATTGCATTGTGGGATACAGAATTCAGCTCAGTGAGTTCTAGTTTTGCACTGCATATTCTGGAAAATGCAGAAGGTCATGTTGCTTTTCCATGCATAAACTTTTTCACATGGCATTCAACGTACATACTGCATACCGCAGAAATTGTAGAACGCTAAAGCCAACATGAAAATGACATTTGCAACATAATTTACTTCAGTAAGGTGACATCACAATTTTTATTGCATTAACATAAAAACAAACAGTGAATTTCTTTAATGCACGGATTAATTATTTATAATAAACGTAGGAACGTTATTAAAGGATGTACATAAAAGTCCATTTTGATTTGATGCATAAAATCACTCCAAACTCCTGCAGTCTGCTTGTTAAACCGAGATATTAAACTGAAGGAAAGCTATAAATGACCGCACCACCCTGATAACAAACACTTTTGCGCTTTTCAAGGCAACACATCACCGGCACACACAATTACACCCCATTTTCTGCTCGTTTAGACACGTTTCAGGCAACTGACTTGGAAAAGTCGTCTTTGAGGGGGATCTCAGCTCGATGGCCTTTATTTGTTTATTCTTCCACCTGACTATCCTTCACTCGAGTGTTTTAAGCATCAGTCGAGCCCAATCATAATTACCCAAGACTACTTCTAATTAGGAGCTCAAAATCCAGTGATTGGTTCATTTTCCCCGTTCATACACCACCTGTTTAACTCCATTCATTTCCTCATTTGTTACTTTTATCACCCTGATTTGAAGGTTTAATTAAAGGTTAACCTAAAGAGAGCCAAAAATGACCTTTATCTTTCAAGGGTTCATTTTAATCACAAACAAAATTACAGGCCGCTTCCACTTTTGCCTTTCGAGAGTGTTAGTGTGCATGTGTCACAGTCCAAATTTAGCAAAATAATAACCCTAATAATGACTTTTAGAAACAAAAATGGCATCCTCATATTTTATAAACCCTGCACAAAGAGCAGATCTTCTTACTATTTAAATCTAGTTTGAGAAACAGTATGCATAACACAACATGAAATGTTTCAAACAGTAGCATGTTATACCGTCACATGAATGTATCACATCACATGCTAGATTCAATAAAAAATTTAATCTTTTTAGGGGACCATTTTTTGAACACAGCTTTCTTATAAGGTTCCATCTAGATTCCAATTTGTTTTTTTTAAGCAGAATTAAGTCTTAATATTTTATACAGTATACCAGGGTTTCTGCCGGTTTTATTTAAGACTTTTTCAAGACGTTTTTAAGGCCAAGTAAAGATCATTTCAGGAATAAATTGAAAGGAACACAATACATCAACATGTTATCAAAACAGCACAATGAGTTGTATTAGCAACACTTGAATGTTTAAAAATATAGCTTCCAACCGATCACTCCATTAATAATTTTACAAACAAATAGCTGAAAGCCTGAACACCTCTGTTCCCAACCACCAGAATATGGAAATAACACTAATTTCTACTGTACCTGCAGAAAGTGATATTCTTTCTCAGTATTTTGGTCTTGTTTGCCAGTACAAATGTTTAAAGATTCTTAAATCAAGATACATTTACTTGAGAAGCAAAATAAAGTGAGCTAAGAAGTCTTGTTCTTGTTTTGTTTTTAAATCAAAATGAAGTGAGCTTATTAAAAAAGAACAAATATCTGCCATTGGGCTCAGAAAATCGACTTAATTTAAAGAGAAAACAAGTTTTCATACTCCACTGACAGATACGTGTTCATGTTTTAGGCATAAACATAACATTTTGGTAAAATTTGTCATATCTTCATTTTGCATCTCGAATAAATAAAAAACATTATCTTGATATAAAGATGTTTAGATATTTCTATTGGTTAAAAAAAAGACAACCACTGAGAAAGATATTCATTTTTTGCAGTACATGCAATATTTAATGCCACAACTTTACGAATTTAAGACTTAAGACCCTTTTAATGGCTTCATTTGTCGAATTACGCCCTTTTAAAGACCTGCATAAAACGGACATAAAATTCACACACTGCAAAAACAGCATGTATGTCATATTATGCTACACTAACTGTAATAGGATCAAATCAAAACACTTATATTGTGTTAGAGAGACAGTGCTATTTTAGAAACTAGAAACAAAACACAAAACCTCTATGCCGTATTTAAATGTGCATTCACTTAGACTTTTAGACTTTTTAGCATGTATGTGGCATTAGTGGACCTCTAACTCTTGTGCTAATCTGTTATTTGTACATCAGAGCACTTGGCAACTACATCCTGCAGGCAGATGCTGGTGTTTTAATGTAAATAACGTTGTGCTTTTGGACCAATGGCGACGTAATCAATTAAAGATGAAGCCATTGGACCACCTGGATTATGATGATGTACTATGAATTTTAATTTACAATTTATTTTTTATTTTAGATTGCCGTCTACATCTGGATTTGTAAAAGTACTGCACTTTTTTTGCAAAATGTTTGCATTTTCCTGTTGTAAAGTATCTGAAGCACATCCTAAAAAAGTTTTCTGCGAGACATCAAGCCAAAGGTTTCGTCAGTAGATGTGAGGAAGAGTCAACATCATTAGAACGGCCCGTGATGGAGATCTGCCTGCAGGACTGAAGATTACAACTTCTAGGGCAGGAAAAAAGAGCAGATCTTTCCTGCAGTAGGTGGAGGAGAGCAAAGCTCCAAAGGGCATCGCAGAACAGCATGGAAGAGGAGGAGAGTGGGAGGGAATGGAATGGCACCGTGCCACGGTTTGCCGAGCGAGACGACGGAGACCAAATGGATGGAGAAGACTGTGATGATAAAAAGAAAAACCTCAGCTTGGGCTGATGGACCTGATTTCCACTGCCACCTCTCATCCGACTTTGTCGACTAAAACACTTTTTCTTGGAACTGCAACTCCTCTGTTTGCATTTGTACTGACAGATATTCATAAATGAAGCTTTTATGTCCATTTGAATACAATGAAACAATATCAATATATTGAAAATGTAAACACTTTTGCATATGTACAAATTCAGAGACAAAATAGCAATAAAAATAATGTATTATTATTATACCTGTAAAAAAGTAAATAAATAAATAGTTTTTGCCAATCCTCTGATGGCTGGACAAAATGTGATGAATAATAATAATAATAATAATGTATTATGTATTGCAATAAATGAAATCAAAATGATGCTAACAAATAGATAAATATTATTAGATAATAATAATTATAATGATAACAATAATCTTTGTCAATCCAACAACTGGACAAAATGTAACGACAAATGTATTAATTATTGAAGTTAATAAAAGTAATGATTCCTGTCAGTCTTTAGAAATCACCCAGAAACAATTATATTGATAAATAAGTCATTAAATAATCTCATGAATTATAAATACATTAAAACCAAAATATCAATTCAATATTCTTTGAACCTCAAAGGATTTGTAAGTATTTGTCTGTCTCTACAGTTGCACAATAAGGGCATGAACACAGTAGAAGCTGCAGTGCTATTGTGTCGAGTGTTTCTGGAGATGTGCAGATGTGTATGAAGGAATCGAGCTCATCACACTTTCTGACCCTGCGTTTCTCGGGCTGGCAGGGGTCACGAGGGTGTCAGTGGGCCACTGTCCCCTTGCCCCTTTTAATGATGAGCGATGTCCTCCAATTAGAGACGTTGACAGTCCCTAAAGTGGCCAATCATTAATCACACGCCTGCCGCGCTTCTACCGCACAAAATCACTCTCTGATTTATGACTTCTCATGCTCTACTGTTCCTCCTCTCTCTCATTGTACCTCCATTCCTCCTCTACTCATCCGTCGTTCAGCGCGCTGAGAAATCAATCAGCCGCAGTGACCTTTCACTTATACAATCAAAGGTTGTTACTGAGTATAGAATACATAAAAATCGCAGAGCAGAATTTAGTTGCTCAAAGGGTGCTCTTTCATAACTCAGAACACTTAAAGGGATACTCCACCCCAAAATGAAAAGTTTGTCATTAATCACTTACCCCCATGTCGTTCCAAACCCGTTAAAGCTTCGTTCGTCTTCGGAACACAATTTAAGATATTTTGGATGAAAACCGGGAGGCTTGTGACTGTCACATTGACTGCCAAGTTAATAACACGGTCAAGGTAATATCCGCTGAACGCAAGCAGCGTACGCTCTTCTGTGTCAGAGGCGACACAAGGATACGTTTTCTACATGTATTTACGCTTTAATTTGAACGAAAACAGCACATCCATACATTGGGGCTGACGCAGAAGAGCGTACGCTGCTTGCGTTCAGCGGATATTCTCCAAAATGGCGCTACGGTGATGCGGAGAGACACAGAGGAGACGAATTGTTGAATAAAGTCGTTATTTTTGATTTCTTCGCGTACAGAAAGTATTCACGTCGCTTCATAACATTACGGTTGAACAACTGATGGCAGATGGACTATTCTGACGATGTCTTTCATACTTTTCTGGACCTTGACAGTGTAATTTACTAATCAGTCAATGGGACAGTCACAAGCCTCCCGGTTTTCATCCAAAATATCTTAAATTGTGTTCCGAAGACGAACAAAGCTTTTATGGGTTTGGAATGACATGGGGGTAAATGATTAATGACAAAATTTTCATTTTGGGATGGAGTCTCCCTTTAAGAATCAACATTGTCTCATAGCTCTCCTAAAATCATTGGGTTTCTTTGACAAATTCATTGATGAGCTTTAAATTGACACAATGACTTATGTAAGGTAACTGGACAAGCCTATTGTTGAAATAAAGACACTTATAACTTATATAACACAAATAAGAGATTAGTAGATCCTTTGTAGATTAGTATAACATACAATATATTATATTATATGTATAATATACTAATAATATTCTTTTATTTAATAGTTTTTTTATTACTTCTCATATAATAATAATAATAATACATAAAATTAATTTAAATAAATCCATTATAAATAAAAGAAAAACAAAAAAACTATATTATTAAAATACAAACCCAATTCCAAAAAAGTTGGGACACTGTACAAATTGTGAGTAAAAAAGGAATGGAATAATTTACAAATCTCATAAACTTATATTTTATTCACAATAGAATATAGATAACATATCAAATGTTGAAAGTGAGACATTTTGAAATGTCATGCCAAATATTGGCTCATTTTGGATTTCATGAGAGCTACACATTCCAAAAAAGTTGGGACAGGTAGCAATAAGAGGCCGGAAAAGTTAAATGTACATATAAGGAACAGCTGGAAGACCAATTTGCAACTTATTAGGTCAATTGGCAACATGATTGGGTATAAAAAGAGCCTCTCAGAGTAGCAGTGTCTCTCAGAAGTCAAGATGGGCAGAGGATCACCAATGCCCCCAATGCTGCGGCGAAAAATAGTGGAGCAATAATTTGTACAGTGTCCCAACTTTTTTGGAATCGGGTTTGTATTATATATAATGTTAATGAAAAGTTTTCATTTGAAAGGGCACAAAACAAATAAAAATATCTGTCACTTACAACATCCGATTCGGCTTTGGAGTCGTAGTACTGGATGTCATTTTCCTAAAATAAAACAACAAAACACAAATATTAATAATGTAAACATTTATGTAAAAATGATTGCCTTGAGGACCATTAATAACTTTCCAGCTCATGTCATTTTGATTTACCTGCCTTCTGCACTATAGTTTTCATGTGAACCAAAAAAAAAAGATCCCTATTAGCTCATTAGTTTCACAAGAAAATAAAGCAATAATGAAATTACAGGCCTGTCCTGAGGGCGCTGTCGTGAGACGGTAATTGTCATTTGTTTTGATGATGTCTGTTGTGCTTTTGTATTCACTGTCGCACGCACATTGTTTTTTTTGTTTGTTGAATTAGGGATCTGCTGCTGAATTAGACATCTGCTCACAAAGCAGAAAGACTGAGCCTTCTTTTAAAATAATAACTCACTGAAACTGACATGACACGACATGAAACTTCACCTGTCATTAGTTTCGACCAGATGATCACTAGAATCTTCTGATTCAATGTTCATGTACCCATCATTACTTCATCAAATCTTACAGGATCACTCACTCACCCTAACATCCCTCAATTATCTTAGCTTAATCATTTATATAGATGTTTAGCTGACAAGTGTGAAACCAGCCTATACTCACAATTCATTCATTAATCAAAGTGAATGTTAGATTTGTCAATATACATATCATAAATACTGAGACACTGCATTTGCATTTGTCATTAAAGATGAAAAAACAAACATTTTGCGAGAAAATAGAAACGAGTAAATAATAATAATAATATTATTATAAAAATGTAATATATTCTATTAAAATATAAATACAAAATTTAATAATAAAAAAAAAAATAATAAAAAATAAAAAAAATAAAAAAAAATAAAAAAAAAAATATATATATATATATATATATATAATGTTTAGTAATATTAAACATACATAACTTTTGAAATAATATAAAGATAATATATTAGGCGAGGGAAAGAATGTGTACTATGAAAATGGAAGCAGGACTAATGATTAGAGGTCGACCGATAGTGGATTTTGCCGATACCGATAGCTAGGTTGGACCACACTGGCTGATACCAATTAATTAACCGATTGCTTTAAAATTGATGCTGAACAAAAACTAAAATAGTGCAGAGGAGGAGAGGAGAGGAGAGAGGTGGAGAGAGGAGGAGAGGAGAGGAGAGGTGGAGACAGGAGGAGAGGAGACGAGAGAGGTGAAGAGAGGAGAGGAGAGAAGGAGCCAGGAGAGAGGAGGAGAGAAGAGGAGAGGAGAGGGGAGAGGTGGAGAGAGGAGGAGAGGAGGGGAGAGAGGAAGAGGAGAGGAAGAGATGAGAGGAGAGAGGAGAAGAAGAGAGAAGTGGAGAGGAGAGGAAGAGAGAAGTGGAGAGGAGAGGAGAGGAGGAGAGAGGAGGAGAGGAGGAGACGAGGAGAGGAGAGGAGGGATGAGTAGAGGAGAGAGGAGAGATGAGGAAAAGAGAGGAGAGAGGTGGAGAGGAGAGGAGAGGAGGGGACAGGAGGAGAGAGGAGAGGAGAGAAGGAGACAGGAGAAGAGGAGAGGAGAGAGGAGGAGAGGAGAGAGGTGGAGAGAGGAGGAGAGGAGAGGAGGAGAGGAGAGGAAGAGATGAGAGGAGAGAGGAGAAGAAGAGAGAAGTGGAGAGGAGAGGAAGAGAGAAGTGGAGAGGAGAGGAGAGGAGGAGAGAGGAGGAGAGGAGGAGACGAGGAGACGAGGAGAGAAGGAGAGAGGAGGAGCGGCTGGGCGGCAGTAGACTCTATTAATAGAAGTTCTCTGCAGAGACAATCCCTCTGGTGGAGTGTGGGTGTCTCTAGTGAGCCAGTGGGGTGCAGTGTATGTGTGCGTGTGTGTGTGAACTGTAAACATGTGAACTGTGATCTTACAGTCGTGCAGCAGCTCAGCACAAGCGGTCCATCCTCACACACCTGTGCTCAACACACTAACACACCTGTTACTAACACTAACAATGGACTACAGACACTTGGCATAATGTTAAAGGCTCTCATACCATTAGCATAAACAGGTATGAGAGTATTACCATGTTCTTTGCACACTGCTATACTGTATACCATACCATACCATAGTATGTGAATATGGTAATCCATCATAGGTACATCATGGTATTTAATTCAGGGTTTTTAACATTATCTAAAAATAAATCTATAAAAAAATTAATTACTTGAAATAAAATAAACATTAACTGAAATTAAAGAAGATTGATTGATTTTAAAAATGTAAATGTATTTTCATTCAGCTAGTTGCCTAAGCAAAATTTCTCATTTCGTTTGGAAAGTTGAGAGACTAAAATTACAAAAACGAAATAAAACTAAAATTGAAAACTTAAACTAAAATACAGTGGGGCAAAAAAGTATTTAGTCAGCCACCAAT